AAGGAAAGGAAAGGAAAGGAAAGGAAAGGAAAGGAAAGGAAAGGAAAAACCTGGAGTCAGGAGCATGGGGACACACTGCACAATCCTCTTGTCAGAAGTAAAGAAAATATTTGAGAACACTCAGCATCCTTTAGTGATAAATCCCCAACAAATCAGATAGAACAGTAATATTCAAAACTAAATAATAAAATAAGGAACATAAAAAGAGGTGGGTAACGGTAGAACTCAGCTGTTTTTCTGTGCTAACAACAAACTACCCAAAAATAAAACTGAGAGAATCCCATCCTATCCCATCCACAGCAGCTACAGAAAGAAAACAAAATAAAATACTTAGGAATAAATGTGAAGCCAAGCGGTGGTGGCACAAGCCTTTAATCCCAGCACTCAGGAGGCAGAGACAGGCAGATCTCTATGAGTTTGAGGTCAGCCTGGTCTACAAGAGCTAGTTCCAGGATAGGCTCCAAAAGCTACAGAGAAACCCTGTCTCGAAAAACCAAAAAATGAAAAAAAAAAAGAAAATAAATGTGAACAGGGAGTGAAAACCCTTCACACAAAAACTGTAAAACATTGAGAAAGATGAAGGAAGACACAAATAAATGACAAGATACTCCACGCTAAGCACTGAAAGAAATAATGTCAAAGCAGATACTATCCTACAATCCCATTCAGCATAATTCTGAAGACGCTCCTCACAGAAAGAGAAACAGAACCCTAAAATTCATAGGGAACCACAAAAGATCCTTGAATAGCTTAAAAGCAATTTTGAGCAAAAAGGACAACGTTAGAAATGTCAAATTGTTGGTAGAAAAAAAAATTCTACAGGGGCCAAGAACACAGTTTAGTGGGTAAAGTGCTGGTCTGGCCTGTGCAACACCCTGGGCCCCGCCCTTAGCACCACATAAACCCAGTGTGTTGGTCCATGCCTATAATCCCAGTTCTCAGGACAGAGCAGGGGAGGATCAGGAATTGACAGTCATCCTTGCCTACCCAGAAAATGAAGCAAATGTGCTATATAGGATTGTATCGCAATAAATGAATAAATAAACAAATATCCTCCACTCCTGGAATTAAACTGGTGCAAGGTTCATTCCTGTAATCCCAGCACAAAGGAGATAGAGGCAGAAGGACTAGGAGTTCAGGACAGCCTTAGCTGCATGAGATCCAGTCCAAGTGTGTGTGTGTCTGTGTGTGTGTGTGTCTGTGTGTGTGTGTGTCTGTCTGTGTGTGTGTGTGTCTGTGTGTGTGTGTCTGTGTGTGTGTGTCTGTGTGTCTGTGTGTGTCTGTGTGTGTGTGTGTGTGTGTGTGTGTTGTCTTAGTTAGGGTTTCCATTGCTATGACAAAACACCATGACCAAAACCAAGTTGGGGAGGAAAGGGTTTATTTGGCTTACGCTCCCACATTGCCGTTCATCACTCAAGTCAGGCTAGGAACTCAAAGACTGCAGGAAACCTGGAGGCAGGAACTGTTACAGAGGCCATGGAGGGGTGCTGCTTACTGGCTTTCTTGTCATGGCTTCCTCAACCTACTTTTTTATAGGACCCAGGACCACCAGCCCAGGGATGGCCCCATCCACAATGGACTGGGCCCTCCTACATTAATCACTAAGAAAGTGCCCTATAGTCAGATCTTATGGAGGCACTAACTCCAGTTTGTGTCAGATTGACATAAAACTAGTCAACACACACACATACAAACAGACACATACACACATTACCATCAAAACAGCATGCCACTGGGGCATGAGATGATTATATACACGTTAACAGTTCATTGACTTTCAGCAAAGGTTCCACATCACCCCTGGGGAAAAAGGTCTAGGCTCCAGTCAAGGGGGTGAGAACAGGGAAACCCATATGCAACAGAATTAATTATACCCTAACTTCACATATGCAAAATCCAGCTCAAACACAAACACCAGAAACCGTCAAACTGTCAGAGGCAAATGGGAAACCCCGCGACATTAGCCTGGGCACTTATTTTTCAACTGTGAACCCGAAGTACAGGAAACAAAGGCAGACGTAGACAAACAGGCTGACAACAAACTATAAAAAGCTTCCACATGCAGGAAGTGGTCCATGGAGCGCAGAGTACCTACAGAACCAAAGCCCACTTCGGATAAGAGACTAATTTTCTAACACAATAAGGAACTCGGGCAGCTCAGTGGCCACAGAGCAGAAGCTCGGTTGGAAAACATACTTAAGACCTAAAGAGGTGTTTCTCAGAAAAAGAAACATGAACAGCCATCAGGGACACGAACAGCTATTCAGTATCAGTAGCCACGAGGAAATAGAAAATCAAAACAAAAAGACGTGCTCTCTCACACCTGGGAGAGTCCTCGAAAAATGAGACAAAGCGGGTGAGATGTGCAGCCACTGCGGACAGCAGCAAACACGCATGCAACTATAGTCCTAGCATGGGGCAGTCAAGGTAGGAAGACCGTGGGTTCTGGGCGAGCCTCGGCTATCCTCGCATGAGGCGGTCAAGGTAGGAAGACCGTGGGTTCTAGGCAAGCCTCAACTATCCTAGCATGGGGCAGTCAAGGCAGGAAGACCATGGATTCTGGGTGAGCCTCGGCTATATACTAAAACCCTGTCACACTCACAAAACAATCTAAAATAGAACTAGCCCCGGCCATCAATACCACTCCTGGGTCCGTATCCTGAGGAAATGAAACCAGCATGCTGAAGAGATGTCCACATGCCACGGTCATTACCATTGAATTCACCACAGATATGGGAACAACCTAAATGTCAGCAACAGGCGAATGGAATTGTGGGCTAGGGACTGGGGGTGCTGCTCTGTTGGCACGGTGCCCACTTAGTGTGGCATCCAGGGGTGTGAAAAGTGGGTGGCATGGTGCTGTGTAGCCTGCAATCTCAACACTAGGAAATTAGAGGTAGGAGGATCAGGAGTTTAAGGCCAGACTCTACTACGTAGGAAATTGAAGACTAGCCTGGGCTACATAAGGTCTTGTCTGAAAAAGCCCAAACATGGGTCAGTGAGATAGCTCAGGGTGAAGAACCTCGCTGTACAGCCTGATAGCCGGAGTTCAACGGCCAGAACCCACATAAAGGAAAAGAGGGAGGGAGGGAGGGAGGGAGAGAAGGAGGGAGGGAGGGAGGAAGAACTGACTTCACAGTAGTCCTCTGGCCTCCACATGCCTGCTGGGACATGACTCCCCCCCCCCACTCCCACACACTAATAATAACAAAACAATATTAATGAAATTTTAAAAAGCAGCTGTAACTCACCTCTAATGACGACCGTGCCAATCAGCTTTCGGAGGCTGTGATAAACACCAGAGATAACCGACTCCCAGAGAGACAAGGGTGACATGACTCAGCTTGTGGTTCCAACAAGAGATGGGCGAACCCATTACATTCCGGCCTCCAGCATGGGGCTGGAGGCAACGCTGGGGACCTCGAGGTGAGTCAGAACCTCACAACCCATAGCAGCTGGGAGTGAAAGCAGAAAGAAGGAAAAGGGGCTCCACAGGGCTCCTCAGTGGTCAACAGCACCTCGCTGGGGGTTTGGGGTACAGTCCAGACCCAAACTATGGCACTATTTTTGCTTTCCAGTCAGGTATACTCAGAACTGCTAACCCTCCAGGCAATACAGGTAAAGAGGAGCCCAGGGTGGCAGAAAGGCTGTAGCCAGTGCTCTGGGCACACGCAGGGTGGGGGCGGGCACTAGGGCACACTGTGGTTAGTGCTCCCAGGAGCAGCGAAGGTTGCAGGGCAGGGAGAATACTGGTTACTCTTCGAGCTGAAGCACGGTGGTATGTGTCTCCATGTTAGAGTGTGGGACTAACATGTGTGAGGATTCCATCCCTAGCACCGTGAGCGGAGGCTTTAGTTATATTCTATGTCCCTCCAAAGCTGTAGTCTGCGGGGGCGGCCCCCCCCTTCAGGCCTCCAGCTCTCTGTCTCTGCTCAAGAAGGAAAGCAGATGGATGGGGAAGGCTGGGCTTAGGCCACCCAGAGTTCCAGGCTCCCAGCTTCTGGCTGTGGAGGCTTCTGGCTGTGCAGCTGAGGCGGCCAGGCCCAAATGAGTCACCCGGCCAACGCCAGGCAGGCTGGCACCCACACTGGGAAATCCTGTCTTTCTCTTTCCCTTCCCCTTATCGTTTCTGTTGGCGTCCAATCCCCCCTCCACAGTGAGCTTCTGACACACCAACAGCCAGGAGGTGTCCCTGTTTCCCCGCCACCAAGGCCACACAGGGCAGGGCCAGGCGCATGGATCAGAGTCTGAGCTGGCTCTAAGGGATGGAGGTCGGGGAGCTTGGACACCTCGACATACATGCAGAGTGAGAAACCAGTTCTCTCTTGGCTCTGTCTGTGTGGTCTGAGTCATAGGCCTGACCCCACAGCTGTTCCTCGTTTGGGACTTAGGTCCTGCTGAAGGTGGCATAAACAGGCAGGAGCTGGGAGGCCTCTGTAACCAGAAGGCTGCTAGGATGGGGTGGGGTTGGGGGAAGAGTCCTTCAGTCCCTGGGTTCCTGTGGGCTGATGGCAGTGACAGGAAGAAGCTGAAAATGTGGCCAAGAACCCGAGGAGAGGCTTCCTGCATGGGCTCTGCCTTGGCGACCAGCTTGCCACAGTTTGAGTTCTCAAAGACTCACTTTCTCAGGAAAGCCCTCAGCCTGGGCCGCAAAGGGCAGGGGTTCCTTCCACAGCCTCATGGCCCATGCTATAGAGTAGACACTGAAACGGGAGTGGGGCAGGGGTGCGGCAGATGCAGCCTTTATTTCCAGCAGCAGAGTGTATCCTACCAAGGTGGGCAGGGACGGGATGCTCAGGCCCGGGACACAGGTGCCACTCACTCCCCAACAGGAGAGACGATCTAATAAAAGGAGGCTTGATCTCGTCATGCGACCCCAGGCGAGCTTCTGCCCTCTCTGGATTGCAGGTTCTTACCATGGATGGTGGGGTAGAGACTGCTTTGATTTCCAACCTGATAGATCTGTCACCAGGACACAGTCATCTCCCCTGCTCCTCCTCCACCCCGATTTTTGGCATGGGCAGGCTATGACCCTAACACCACCTCCTTCTAAACCTGAGGGTTTAAAACCCAACGAGTAATGGTACCTATGTGTCAGACGAAGAAACTGAGGTACCCTTTCTCAACTCAAGGTCCAGCTTTAGAAACAGGGACTGTTTCCCCTGCCCAGAGGGAAGAGGCGTGACCACTCAGGGCAGAGTCAGAGCTGGGTTCTGCCCATTACCTCTCCCCCAGGGTCCCACCCCACACCTGCTCTGGGTCTGGCCAAGGGGGAAGCAAGAGTCAGAAAAAGTTGTGCTCCAGAGGTCAGATGGTGGGGGTGGGGATGGGGGTGGGGAGTGCTAATGAGCCTGCTCTGGGAAGGAGGAGGGCTTCAGAGAGGTGGGAGGGCAAAGGAGGAGGGAGAATGGAGAAACCAGTTAGGCCAGGCTGGAGAACTGGGTGTGGGAGGAAAGGGAAGAAGAAGGAAGTAAAGGAAGTAGGAGCAAGCAAACCCTGAGAGTAACTTACAACGGGGCAGAAGGGACAAGGAGGCACACACAAGACTCAGGCCAGGAGACCCGGCCGCACTGGAGAGAAGCAACTGTCAGGGCATGGGGTGCTGGCTGTCGGGGCAGAAAGCAGGTCTGGGCTCCTTCCTCAGAGACACTGCCTCCTAGGATGGCAGACCGGGTGTCAAGGGGACATGTTGGTGACATGTCTAGACCCTGTGCTCGTACGGCTCTGAACTGAGTGGAGTTCTTGCCTATAGCAGCCTTGGATGCCAGAGCCGCCTCCCCATGCCCAGGCGGAGACAAACTGAACCCCCAGATATCAAGCTGGGCCTGAAATGCCCCGGGCCAGGAGGGGCCAAGCAGTTCACCTCTGGGAACCAAAGTCCAATCCGACCCCTCACCCTCAGACCTATTCCCACCTGGCAGCATTCTCACCCGCCTCTGTCTTTATCTTCTTATTTATTTATTTTCCAGAGTCTCACTACACAGTCTTAACTACAAAGCCTAGGGTGGAACTGATTATACAGAGCAGAGATCGGTGGCCTGCCTCTGCCCCCACGGCCCAGCCCCCACTGCCCACCCCAAGGGCTGGAGTTAAAACCACCACACCCAGCTCACTTGTCTCTTAAAAAGGTGCCAGTGAGGGTCCAGTGACCTGCAATGCTCATCTCACACGAGCTAAAACCATAGCACATCCTAGAGAATGGGATCCAGTCACTGGGGTGACCGCAGGGATATGGGGACACAGACCTCTCTCCTAATGTCACGAAGTCCTGGCTTCCGTGGACTCAGGCTGGGCACCGGGCCTGCCTGAAAGGAAGGAAACAGGCAGAGGACACACTCAGTCCTCCCAGACAAACTCATAAGATATCCGGGACCTTGACTAGGGGAACCAGCTATTGTAGGTACCAGAGAGTGGGGTGTGGGGATGGTGGAGGGGGGTGTCTGCCAAGACAAAACAATCAGGTTCTTCCCTGGGCTGATAATGGCTCCCAACGCTATCCATATGGGAATCCTTAAACCCTGTGGGCCTCATGTAGCATTAAAGGTTTGCAGAAAGATAGGGAGAGCATCCTGGATGTGTCCTAACGGTAATAGCAAGCAAGCGTCCTTATAAGAGAGACACAGGGCTGGGCATGTGGCTCAGTGGCAGAGTGCTTGCCGAGTATGTCCAAGGCTCTGGGGTCCTCCCTCACCACAATGAATGAATGAATGAATGAATGAATGAATGAATGAAGCCACATGTGGCAGCACACGCTGCTGTCCCTAACACTCTGGAGGCAGAGGCGTGAGGAAGAGGAGTTCAAGGTCTATGTTATTCTGAGCTACAGGAGACTTTGGCTCAAAAAGGCAGGGAGGGAGCAGCCAACGAGCCGTTCACCAGGTAAAGGCACTTGATGCCCACCTCCGACTTGGAGAGCTCATCTCTGCCATACACGTAAAGACAGGTAAAGACAGACGGTGTAAAACAACCACACACACTGTCCCTCTGACTGCCACTCACCAACCACGGCATGTGTATAGACAGATAAACAACATAAATAAGAGCAGGGGAATAGGGAGGCACAGGGAGGTTCGAGGGCAGAAGAGGAAAACAAAAACAGAGACAGAAACTGGGGTGACTCAGTCACAAGGAATGTCAGCAGCCGGAGGAGGCAAGGCCCAGACTCCCCCATGGAGCCCCCCTCCACGAGAAGGCTCTAGGCTGGGTGTTCGTCCCACACGGCTCACCTCTGACATCCGAGGACAGTGGAAATAAATCCACACTGTTTTAAGCCACTGACTTTCTGACATTTTGGGTTCAGCGAAGATGAGGAAGATGAGGGCCAGGGGACAAGGTGAGTGATGGAGCCTAACTGTTCCCTCCTGCTCGGAGGAGGGTGACATTACAGCCCCAACTGCCCCCCAACATACCATGAAGTTCCCTGCTACCACTAGTGAGAAGTCATGGAGTCCCTACCTCAGGCTGACTGGCAGGTCACCCAGCAGGGGTCAGAGGGCACCAGGCAGGGACTGGCTAGTCAGGAGCAGACATGAGCAGACTCTCAGCCCTTTCCCACACCTGTGTATGCATGACCGAGATGGGTAACCCAGTGCCCATGATCAGGCCTGGTCTCTTCTGGCCACTGGCACCTTCTATACCTGACCACACGCTCCACAGAGACATAAGTCCACAGAATATGTTCACAGGTCACCTCTCACAACCAGCTCTGGAAAGCCTGGGGTCCCAAGCACAATGGTCCCAGCAAATGACAACAGGACGTGGTAACTCAACCCTTACTGGGCAGCAAACATTCGACAAACTCACACCTGAGCTCAAAAATGGGCTCCATGAAGTTCAGGTTGGTGCCCCAAAGGCGTGCGGCCCATTTTGCCTTTAGTGAGCAAGGAAAGACAGGGCCTAAGGCCGAAAGGAAGCCAGCAGTTCTGCCTGCTCTGAGGCAACCCCAGGGTGGACCACAGCTCAGAGACCACGCTATAGAGGTGGGGGCCTTGGAGGTCAAGCCTAGGGACTTTAGGGAACTGTAGGAGAGCAAGAAGCGATAGGGCAGAGAGGCTGTCTGGAGGACTTGGGTAGTTGGAAGGGGCCCCACAGGCACTGAGAGATAAGGCAGAGGAAGACTCATCCACAGGACTGGCTACAGAGAGCCTGCCGGTGGCCGCCCAACACATGGGGCTACTTGTCTGTAACTGGGAGACAGCCGCGGTTCACACCCATGCAAGACATATGTAGGGTGCCCCTCAGCTGCTCTACCCCTGCTTCTCCCCGGGGATAAGGGGGATGTGGAGAGGCCAGAGGACTTGGCCAGTCTGACAGAAAACATTAAGCAGGGGCCTTTACAGTGACCAGCAGGTCCTCTCATTCACTAAAGTCAGGAGTGGAAAAAAAAAAAACACTGCTGTCCACCTCTTGCCGCAAAATGTGTCTCTCTGTCCTCAATGAAGGGGATTCACTGACAATGGCTGCTGACTGGCTACCAAACACCTCATCGTAAAGTGCAGAGTGACCAGAGCTAAGGTCAGCAGCAGCATCCCTAGGTCTCTGTGTGTGGCAAGGCAGCATTTAGCCTCACTAGGGGAAACTGAGCCACAGGCAAAGACAGCTCTCTGCTTTAAGGGCACGGGCAAGTAGAAAGACAAGGAGCCAGTCTCGAGGACGAAGAAGACAGGTCCTTCAGGAAGAGGGTGGTGGAGGGTAATCCGCTAGCACTGTTTGGGCACCAAGGAAGACCTCCTTTTGCGGGATGGGATCTTGGTGTCATCCCGAGAGCTATCCGGGAAAGTAGGGTAGGTAAACATGGCAGAGGCCTCCGAAACACACACAGATGTGCC